CAATGTATTTCCGATGTTTATTACGTTTAATTTTGATATTTATAGGTGACAACCAATGAAAACATCAAATCTGGTATCTCAGAAAATTAGAATATTCTAAAGGCCAATGAAAAAATGTTTGTTTCTCTAATGTTGGCCAACTGAAAAGAATGAACATGAAAAGAATGTGCATGTATAGCACTCAATACTTAGTCGGGGCTCCTTTTGCCTCAATAACTGCAGTAATGCGGCGTGGCATGGACTCGATCAGTCTGTGGCACTGCTCAGGTGTTATGAGAGCCCAGGTTGCTCTGATAGTCGTCTTCAGCTCCTCTGCATTGTTGGGTCTAGCGTATTGCATCCTCCGCTTCACAATACCCCATAGATTTTCTATGGGGTTAAGGTCAGGCGAGTTTGCTGGCCAATCAAGGACAGGGATACCATGGTCCTTGAACCAGGTGCTGGTGGTTTTGGCACTGTGTGCAGGTGCCAAGTCCTGTTGAAAGGTGAAGTCTGCATCCCCATAAAGTTGGTCAGCAGCAGGAAGCATGAAGTGCTCTAAAACTTCCTGGTAGACGGCTGCATTGACCCTGGACCTCAGGAAACAGAGTGGGCCAACACCGGCAGATGACATGGCACCCCACACCATCACTGACGGTGGAAACTTTACACTGGACCTCATGCAACGTGGATTCTGTGCTTCTCCGCTCTTCCTCCAGACTCTGGGTCCTTGATTTCCAAAGGAAATGCAGAACTTGCTTTCATCAGAAAACATAACTTTGGACCACTCAGCATCAGTCCAGTCCTTTTTGTCCTTGGCCCAGGCGAGACGCTTCTTGCGCTGTTTCATGTTCAAGAGTGGCTTGACACACGGAATGCGACACCTGAATCCCATGTCTTTCATGAGTCTCCTCGTGGTGGTTCTTGAAGCGCTGACTCCAGCTGCAGTCCACTCTTTGTGGATCTCCCCCACATTTTTGAATGGGTTTGTCGTCACAATTCTCTGCAGGGTGCGGTTATCCCTAGAGCTTGTACACTTTTTTCTACCACATTTTTTCCGTCCCTTTGCCTGTCTGTTAATGTGCTTGGACACAGAGCTCTGCGAACAGCCAGCTTCTTTAGCAATCACCTTTTGTGTCTTGCCCTCCTTGTGCAAGGTGTCAATGATTGTCTTTTGGACAGCTGTTAAGTCAGAAGTCTTCCCCATGATTGTGGTGCCTTCAAAACAAGACTGAGGGACCTTTTAAAGGCCTTTGCAGGTGTTTTGAGTAAATCAGCTGATTAGAGTGGCAGCAGGTGTCTTCTATATTCAGCCTTTTCAGAATATTCTAATTTTTTGAGATACCAAATTTGGAGTTTTCATTAGTTGTCACTTATGAATATCAAATTTAAATGTAATGAACATTGGAAATACATTGGTCTGTGTGCATTGCATGAATATAATGTACAAGTTTCACGTTTTGAATGGAATTACTGAAATATTTTCAACCTTTTGATGATATTCTAATTTACTGGCCAGCACCTGTAAACTGCTTACACCCGCCATGTCATTTTCTTCCTTTGAACTGTGTCTATTTGAACTGTGCATCTCCCCCCGCCTGCTCTCCGTGCTGATTGATCGCCCTCCAAAGACTTACTCTAACTTCCTAAATGATTTATATGATCTTGTGGCAGACTGCATCCTAAAATATGACTATGTCCTATTTTTGGTGATTTTAACATCTGCTGTCCTGACAATGTGCTTGCTAAAGGTTTTTTGAATTTGCTAGATTCATTCAATTTAACTCAATGGTTATCGTCCCCAACTCATGCCAGGGGTCACACCCTGGACCTGGTTGCTTATCTGGATGCAGTGAGGGTTGCTAGAACTGCCTATTTTGCAGACATCATCAAAACAAACTCTTAAGAATCCCAAGATTCTCTACAAAACACTGAACTCTGTTCTGGTGTATCAGGAGCCCAGCTTCCTGTCCACTACAGTTGCTGGAAACTCTGAAGATTTTCACAAATTCTTTGTTCATAAAGTATCAGGCATTAGAGCAGCTATTTCTGGTAACTCTATTGACCCTGTTCCAGTTCCTCCATCACCACCCACCCTGAGCTCCCTCAATACCGTTTCTTATTCTGAGCTGAGGAAGCTTGTTGCAAGGCAGAAGCCATCTGGCTCTCCACTTGAGGTCCTGCCGCCTCGTCTCTGGAAGGCTGCCTTTCCGTGTCTTGGCCCATCACTTGGTCAGATTACCAATGGGAGCCTCAGCACAGGTGTGGTCCCAGCTGCTTTCAAAGCAGCAGTTGTTCGGCCGACCCTGAAGAAACCTGGTGCTGATGTCTCTGTGATCGAAAATTACAGGCCTATCTCTACCCTGCCTTTTACATTGAAACTGCTTGAGAAAGTCATTTATCAGCAGCTGGTTTCACATTTAGCTGACTCTGATCTGTTTGAGATTTCCCAATCAGGGTTCAGGTCTGGCCATAGTACTGAGTCGGCTCTACTGAGGGTCTTAAATGATATCTATCTATCACTAGATCAGGGTACATCTGTGGTGGTTCTGTTGTTAGATCTGACGGCAGCGTTTGACACAGTTGACCAGGCGATTCTACTTGGTCGCTTGGAACGATGGGTTGGGATCCAAGGGTCTGTTCTGGAGTGGTTTAGATCATATCTCCACAACAGAACATTCTGTGTTAACACTAGAACTCCCAGCATTTTCTGATTCCCCCAGCTCTACCAGAGCTTTGTCAAATAACTGCTTGGTTTGATAACAATGACTAAATCACTGATCGTTAGCTGCCTTTCATTTGTAAATGCAGCCAGCCACAGATGAGGTCCAATGGAATGTGCTTGGGTGTTGGGGGTTGTCAGTCTTTCAGGCTGGCCCAGTGGCTCTACTTGTCTCTCTCCTGTCTTGAATCTGGTTAACTGAACTTGTCCATCCAAAGACTTCACAGAAGCACACAAATGACAAGAAAGGATTTTTATGTAGCGTTTAATAAAAACAAAGCATGAGTCGCTTCAAAAAGACTACATTTACTGCAGCTGGCAGAGGCAGAGATTTTTTCTATTGATACACGGAATTTACAGAATCATTTTAAATGTTAATAGGGGAAGACTGCAGGAGGGAGCAGTAAAATACAGGGGTCCCCACCAAAAACAAGAAACTTTACGAGTCTGATGAAACCCGCTGGTTTTCCATCAGGCAGTCACGGGGCAGCTCCAACGACCCAGTGGCTGTGCTGGGTCAATGTTATCGAGCTCAGTCCGGCTCGGCCGTGAACAGGCCGAGGCGGCGTCGTGCTCTGCTTAAGAAGAGGTGTTATTTTCCCTCTTTAGAAGAAGCGTCCAACGTGTTTTTACGCTTTCTCCAAGACATGTCACGTCGCTAAGTTGTTAGCGCCGCGCGCTAACACGTCAATAGAGCAGCGTAGCTGCTGGAGGTTTTAAGGGTTCAGATGAAAACACCCGACCTCTCACTCTGCTCACAAATCGATCTTCAGTTGTCGCCGTTGCGCTCACGCCGTAATACAGTATTAGATGCGGTTAAAGTCAGACATGAAAAAATAAATAAATTTTACATGAATAAGTGATGCTTAGCCTGGTGGGGGGAGGAGAACCTGGCCTAGTAAGCACTGGAGGAAACCCTGTCAAGATCATCAACACTCGTTTATCTTAATGCTATTGAATCATGTAAACCACAAAGCATTATATCCACTGCTACCTTTCTAATTTTAAACTTTGTAACTTATGCTGTAACTTCACCTTGCCCTGCCTGCTCCTGATCACAAGCGACAACATAGTAGTTCCCGCTGCTTCTTTGGGAAACAGCGCAAAATAAATAAATAAATAAAACTTGGGATCTTGTAGGCGTGGCGGTGGGATTTCAGCCGTGGCGGCCCGCCACGGCTACGCCTATGTAAGGGAAACCCTGTGCTTTTATTTTCAATTTATTCATCATGTTTCACATTTCTCATGTACCATGTTCAGCGCCTTGGGCTTCCCGACAGGCGCTTTATAAATAAAGCTTTGATTGATTGATGTGGCATTACAAAATAAAGTGCAATCAAAAGTCATTAATGACTATTTTTACTAATTCCATGGTAATTTCTCAAAAACTGTTTCATTCTGCAACATCATTCCACATCTGCCTTAAAGTACACATAGACGACTACATCCTCACAAAATTTCTGATGTATCATCAGGTCTTAATAAAAATTTGCAGAGAATGTAGTCCTCGATGTGTACTCTAAGACTGATAAACAACACAACACTAGGAATGATGTTGTGGAATCAGACAGTTTTTGAGGAATTAACCATTGAATATAGTGAAAATTGTCTCTAAAGTCATATTTGATTGCACTTTATTTTGAAATGCCACATCAGATCCATATGAAAGTTGGGGAGGATTCAGCAGTCGGTGTGTACTTTAAGACTGATGTGGAATGATGTTGTGAAATCAGACAGTTTTTGAGAAAGAAACCATTGAATTTAGTGATAATTGTCAATAATTTTCACTTTCTTTTGAAATCCCACATCAGATCAGGATGAAAGGGAGGGGAGGGATAAGAATTGCAAAGTAGACAAATGTGTTTATTCTTTTAATTTAAAGTATTTTTAAATGGATAAAATCATAAAAAAACACGGTTTTATCTTGCACACAATTTTACACAAACACGTTTATATCGTGTTCATTATTTTGATTAAAAGTATTTTTAAATAGATAAAATCATAAAACGCAGTTTTATCGTAGACACAATTTTACACAAACTTTGAAATGTGTTTTGAGCGCTTTTATTTTGAAAGGCACTCTATAACGAGGACACCGTAATTTCTCTTGTAGTTGCGCCCGTAAAAATCGAAAGACGGCTGGCTAAAAGGCAGTCAGAAAACTGAGGTCCGCTTGCTGGAGATGATCTACACAAGAAAGCAGCTTTCTACACACCTTAAATAATAATAACAGGACAGGGCCCCGGGCTAAATTATTGTCCCAGTCAGTCTCTGCACGAGTCCCGCTGGTGTTTCTTACCTGCTCCGTGTGAGCGGCTCTGTGGTTCCCAGCTCACATCCGACAGTCTGCGCTGATCACCGAGCCCTTCCTCGAACTGGGCCAAGGCTTCTTCAACCTTCGTGATGAGTTTTCTAGCAGTAGCTACTTGCTTGTTGACAAAGTCCATCAGAGACTCTCCTGAATACATGTTTAAGCCGGAGACTCAATATTCACCTCATACAACAAGCTAAGTTTGCCAACAGTCCTTTACTTCTTCTTCGTCTTGGTTTTGGTTGGCGCTTGGAGAACGATGAACGTGTTACCGCCACCTGCTGGTCAGGATAAGAACGACACCAAGTGAGAACGAAGTACAAATCCAAAATATAAACTTTCTTTCATTGTAAAAACCAGGGTTCAAAATTAACCTTTATGATCATCACCTTGGATTTCCACTAGCCATTTTTTTCTGCAGTCAAAAAAGAGATTATGAATGCCACTGAATGAAGATTTTGTCATTTTATTAACACTGTTGTTGTGAAAAACGCACACATACTGCAATACACACAAGAACATATAGAAAGTGCAACATTGATTTATTTTTTTCCCACTGTATCTCTTCCCTCTGAATCAAACATCCTCATCCTCAGAGCTCTCTGAACTTGTTTCTTTTTCTGAATCTGAGTAAGCATCACTTTTTTTTTGTTGCATTTTTGTGCACAAATTCAGGCCAGGAACATTGAATAAATAGGCAATAAGGAAGTAATAAAGCAGCAAGAAGATGGATAAAACAGTAAAATATGCAAAAATCACTGAGTAAGTGAATAAAGTGACTAAAGTGTCGTCTGTATAAAAGTTAAATATATGGAGAGCCCAAGGAGAGGGTTTATCAGGGGATGGTCTTATCTGCTGGAGTTAAAGAGCAGAATGGCTTTGGGGACAAAGGTGGCTCCTCCTCTCAGTCTTGCAGGAAATGCAGCGTAGGCGTCGCCCAGAGGGGAGCCATTGAAATGCGGGGTGGAGAATGTGAGAGGGGTTGTAGAGGATTTTGGCTGCCTGTCTCAGGGCTTGTTGATAGAAAACCTGAGCAAGAGTTCTAACAGGCAGGCCCACGATTTTGGAACACACTGATGTAGTGTGCTGCAGTCTGTTCCTGTTCTGGAGGCTAAGAGAGTAGAACCAGCAAGTGATGGAGAAGGTCATGATGCTTTCCAGGAAGGCACAGTAAAAAGTCATCATGACTGAGGAGCTGACTCCAAAGGAGTTGAGTTTCCTAAGGAGATATAACCGTTGGTGGCACTTCCTGAGAATCTCCTCTGTGTTAGCAGAGAATTTCAGGAGGTTGTCAATCAATCAATCAATCAAAGCTTTGTTTATAAAGCGCCTTCCGCAACCCTGTCAGGAAGCCCAAAGCGCTGAACATGGTACAGTTATAGGTAAACATATTGAATAAATCAACAATAAAAGCAATTCAAATTACAAAATACAAATTATAAAATACAAATTACAAGATAGATGAAACATTCTGGTACAGGACAAATGTGTGAAACACATTTGGATTGAGTGGATGGTTTGAGTGAACCAATGAAAACTGTGAAATAAATTCAACATAAAAGAGGGCCAAAAATCAAACATGTTCTGGAAACGCCAAGCGGAGGAGGTGGGTTTTTAGGCGACTCTTAAAGACTGGCAGAGATGGGGACAGCCTAACTGAGGGTGGCAACTGGTTCCAGAGTAACGGTGCTAGGACTGAGAAAGCCCGGTCCCCACGGGTACGACACCTACAACGAGGGACAGCGAGCAGGCCTTGGTCAGAGGAGCGCAGAGCGCGTGATGGGGAATGTTTGTTCAGGAGAGTGGCCAGATAGGGGGGAGAACCACCCTGGAAGAAATGATAAACAAAGACGAGGATTTTGAATTGTGAGCGATAGCAAATCGGAAGCCAGTGCAGGGAGGCCAGAACCGGACTGATGTGGTCCCGTTTCCTGGTCCCAGTCAGGAACCTGGCGGCACTGTTCTGCACAACCTGTAGGCGACGCAGGGATGACTGACACAACCCTGCATAGAGAGAGTTGCAGTAGTCAAGCCTAGAAATTATAAAGGCATGCAGTACCCGCTCCAGGTGGGCTCTCGACAGCATATGCTTGATTTTTGCAAGGCATCTCAAGTGAAAGAAACTGGACCGGATCACCGAATTGATGTGAGCATCAAATTTAAGTCCTGCATCAAGTTTCACCCCCAAACTGGTAACAACTGGTTTTGAGTATGGAGAAAGAGGGCCAAGATCAACATAACGATCCACATTCCTGCTGTTGGGGTGAAAAACAATGAGCTCTGTCTTTCCCTCATTCAGATGTAGATAGTTGGCCATTAGCCAAGACTTCACCTCATTAACACAGGAGACAAAGGACTGGATAGAGTGACCTTTTTCCTGACACAATGGAGAGTAAATCTGGCAATCGTCAGCATAGAGATGGAATGATAGGCCATGTTTACGAAAGATTGACCCAGAGGTAGCAGATAAATGGCAAACAAAAGAGGACCAAGGATCAACCCCTGCGGGACCCCCCAGCGGAGCCCCTCCCAAGAAGAAAAAACATCACCCAGTTTAACACAGAATGTCCTGTTGTGGAGATACGATCTAAACCAGGGGTGTCAAACTCATTTTAGCTCAGGGGCCACATTGAGGGACATCTAGTCCCAAGTGGGCTGGACCGGTAAATTAAAAGCAACTTCAGATTGTTTCCTTTGTTTTAATACAATCAATATAAAACAAAGCTGGAGCCTGAGGACAGTGTATCCAAAATAGTAAAACACCTGAAGTGTACTTGAAAATTTGAAAATAATAAAAAATCAATCAATAAAAAAAACATTCCTTAGTGATTCAAAGAGCTTACAGATCACATGGCTAGATCAGTTTCATGCAGCACTTAAAGTATATTTGACTCATTTTACTTTACATCTTTTAGCTTTCACCAGCACATCACTATCAGAAGTTAAGGACATGGCAACGTAACATCACAAAGTATTGGAGATTGGTCAAAGGTGGTTCCCAGATACTTGTACTCCTCCACTACCTCCTCTGGGTTCCCATGGATAATGGTGGTGACTGAAGCAGCCGGATCCCTCGGCCTCCTGCAGAAGGTCACCACCAGTTTGGAGCTGTCACACCACTCTACAAACTCCTGAAGAGCAGGTCTGTGGTGTTGTGAGGAGCCTGACAGCAGTGATAGGAGGACTGTATCATCAGCGTATTTCACCAGGTGACAGTTGGGATGTGTGGATCTGCAGTCGTCGGTGGAGAGGATGTAGAGCGGGGGGGAGAGCACACAGCCCTGGGGGGAGCCGGTGGAGGTGGAACGGAGACCGGAGAGACAGTTGTTGACCCAAACTTTCTGAGTGCTGTTTTCTTGATGACTCTTAGAAATGTTTCTTCACAGGTGCAGCTGCTGGTTGCTGTTTTTATGTTGGTTTCCTAGTTGTATTAATTTTTCCTCCTATTTACTTGTTTATCCCACACTTTCTGTATACCTGTATTTTGTTGTTTTTCAATAAAGAATGACTAATTATTTAAGTTTGGTTTTTGTTGCACACAAATATCTACAAAGCTAATGTTTACATAACAAGTATGATTGGGTTTTGCAATACGGCACTCTGTTTATTTTAGTAAGATTTTTAAACCAAGTAAAGTTAGTAAAGAACGCATTTCTATTGGCTGCTAAGAAACTGTTGGGATTTAAAATGGGCCTGTTGTACAAATAACTTGTAAATGATTATTCCTCACTTTGTAGTCTTAACCAAAGAAATTCCAGTAATTGAGCAAAAACATTTATTTTTTACACTACATTTTATAAAACAACAGGGCACAAAGTGTCGACACATTAAAAAAAACGTAAAATATTAAAAGGTTGTCTCTGAGGGTCTCTGCAGCTCTCTGGGCACCACGCCTCACGTAACTGTCTCCAATGATCCAAATGGCTATGGAGAAAAAATAACAGGTTTGTCATAATTGTTTAAAGTACAAAACCATACATGAAGTGGTCAAGACAGGTATTTGGAACTTACACTTGCTGCGTTGTGTAGCTGATGTTGGAGACACAGGCTGCCATGGTGACCTTTAAACAGATCTAAGAAAAAAATGTAATAAAAGAATGAAACTTAAAAACTCCCAGATCTCATGTCATATTTACTAATCAGCTATGGCTGATTTATTGTTTGGATCACAGTGAGTTACACTAATTCTAATATATTTTTATTTCTATTACACATACATACTTTTTTTTCCCCCCAAATATGTTTATTATGATTTTCAGTTTAAAACAGAACAAAATACAACAACCACCCCCCCCCACCCCAAAAATCCCCTCCCTCCCACCCCCAACTTAACTCCACTTCTTCAAAGTCAAAGGTGTCAAGAAGATGCAAAAAGGGCAGCCAGATGTCCTTGAAGTCCTCGAGTTTTCCTCTGGCCATATACGTTAGTTTCTCAAGCGCCAGATTACTGGACATAGAATTGATCCATTGTTTCACTCCTGGCCTTTCTGTGGCCTTCCATTTCAAGGCAATAACATATTTAGCTTGTAACAAGGAGAATTCAACCAATTTCTTATTCTTTTTGTTACACACAAAGCTGTCTGGATAGATGTGCAGTATGCAAAGTTTACAGTCAAGGGGCATCTTACATTTAATTAAATCTGAAATAATTGTACAGATTTGTTTCCAAAAAATTTGAAGTTCTTCACATTGCCACATACAATGGTAAAGTGTCCCTTTTTCTTTTCCACATTTATTACAATCGTCAGGGATATTAGGGTTGAAATAATGAAGCTTCACTGGTGTGATATAGGTTCTAAACAGCCACTTGTACTGTAATAATCTAAATCTTGTGTTAATTGTTTGTTTTTGCGCACGTTCACAACAGTCGTTCCACTCTTCTGCTGAAATGTCTGTTTCCAGATCAGATATACAGGCCTGTAAATATGAGTTGCTATTTTCGTTCATACCAGATTAGGGTACTGTAAAATTTGGAGAGGAGGCCCCTACTTTGGTCATAGTTAGCTGCTATATTCTCTAAAGTAGATAACGTGGGTTGTACAGTCGATCCCAGTATATTAGTAACGAAACTTCTAATTTGAAAAAAATTAAAAAATGTCTCCTAGGTAGATCATATTTATTTGCTAATTGTTCAAAGGACATTAGAATTCCATCCTCGTACAGATCTTGTATTTGGCCTATTCCCTTGCTTTCCCAGATTTTAAAGCCTCTATCAGCACGTGCAGGTTTAAACCTAACATTACCCCAAATCGGCGACAAAGCTGATAGTTGCGACTCCTCATTTAAAGCTATATGTGCTTGGTGCCATATTGAAATCGTATTTCTAACTATAGGGTTTTTTGTATTTTTCACTATTCTTTTAGCTGTATCTGAGTAAACATAAGATTGTAATGGCAGTCCTATATTGTTATTCTCAATTTTAACCCAGGAAGGAGTCTCCCTAGTTGGAAAATAGCAAGTAGCTGCACCTATCTGGGCTGCCCAATAGTACATCTTCATATTGGGCACTCCAAGCCCTCCACGCTCATAAGGTAAGTATAACAGGGAGAGGCGTTGTCTGGGTCGTTTGCTGTTCCAAATGAATCTGGAGAAAAGTTTATTCAGTGATGAAAACATAGAGTCTGGGGTATATAGGGGGATGGATTGAAATAAGTAGAGAAATCTTGGTAGAATTGACATTTTCAACGTATTAATGCGACCTATCATAGAAATCGGCATCCCATCCCACCTTACCAATAGCTCTGAAACTTTTTGTATCAAGGGGTCATAATTAATGGGAACAATTTTCTTTATGTCAGGGACAATCTGTATTCCCAAGTAGGTAAAGCCGTCACAGGTACTGGTAAATTGTGTCTGGATATGAGGATTATTTTTATTTAGAAATAGCAGGGAGCTTTTCTTCTGATTAATCTTGTACCCAGAGAAGTACCCAAAAT